TATGTTCCTCATCCTTGCTAGTCAATTCTGTCATTCTATAGGCTATGTAGTAGTATCACAGTATGGTTTTAATGTGCATTTCTCTAATTACCAGCAAGGTTTGACCCTATTAAAAATGTTTATTTAAGTGCTTATTCACATATCCTGTCCAATTTTCCAATGCTATCTTTTTTTGTTTTTAATTTAAGTAAACTCTGAGTATGAACCTATTTATAATATATTTAGATATATAAATTTTTTCTTTAAGGTTAGCATTCTTTTATGTTCTTTTAAAGGAATCCTTTCTTTTCTGAGATAAAAATGATATTTTCCCACATTTTCTTCTATATATTTTATTTTATATTTGACATTTAGATCTATAGTCTACCAGGAATTGTTTTGTGTGAATAGCAAGGAGTAAAGGTCAAATTTCATTTTTTTCTTCTTGCAGATAGTAGTTGATTATGCTTCCCCAGTGTCCTACAATGCCAAGTTTGTTGTAAATTAAGTGGCTGTTTGTGAAAGCTGGGAGATTTGTTCCTGCCCCCATCCTCCTAGTCTCTGGAAGAGTTTATGTACCACTGGACTTATTTAAACCTTAGAATTTTGAGAGAACTAACCAGAAAAGCTATTTGGGCCTACAGTTTATCTTGTAGAAAAGTATTCAATTACAAATTAAATTAATTTAATATGCATATTATTATTTAGTTTTCCTATTTCTTCTCTCCATTTTGGTTGCTTGCATTTTTTTAAGGAATATATCTGTTCATCTAAATTTACAAATTGATTTTGGCAGAAATCTGTTCATAATGTACTCTTCTTAATTTTTGCTTCTGCGAGATCTGTGGTAGGTCCCCCTTTTTATCCTTAGTATGGGCTATTTGTCTCTACTTTCTTTACTTATTTGTTGCCCTTATAAGAGAATTATCAATTTATTAGTGTTTCAAAGAAATTTTTTGAAAGAACCAACTTTTGGCTTTGTTGCTTGTTTTATATTTGAGTAACTTATGTCTTTATTTTTATTATACTTTCATTTTCTTCATTTTTAAGTTTTTATGTTTCTAACTTGTTCACATTTTTAGCACTGATTTTCAGCCTTTGTCTTTTGCAATAATATGTCTAAAGCTATAAATTTCCATTAAGAGGTTAGCAGCACCGCAAAAATTCTGTTAAATTTCATTGTCAACAAAATTTCACTAGTTAAAATTTTGTGCCTGTGTGTGTAACAGAAATGTAAATTTTATTTTCCAAATAGATGAGAATTGTTGGTTTAAAATATTTACATGGGAAATCTTTTCCTTTTCTGTTTCTCTACATTGAAACTTTCAGTATCCTCATGTTTTACACGTTCTTTAGGAATTTTAGGCTTTAAAATATATTAATCAATTTATTTTTATGTGAACTTATACAAGATGAGAGTCTTTTAAAGTTTAATGGGATTCAATTAAATTTAACTGTTTTCCAAAATGCTTTTTTATCTACTATCTAAGACCTTTCTATTTGTCTTATCTTTCAGATATTCCCTTTTTAACTCCCCTATTCCTCCAACTTTTAAGTGGATTGACTTTATTATTCTATTTTACTCTTTAAATTAGTTTGGGAATTATATACCCTACTAGTATTTTTTTTGGTGGTTGCCTTTGAAATTATAACCTACTAGCTTGATTTATCAGTGTATAATATTAAATATTGTTCTTTTACCCTCTCCTGACCTCGCTAAATTGTTCTTCATTCCTCATTGAATCTCTGAGCATTTTGGATCTGCCCATGTTTAATTCTTTCAGTTTTTTTCTACAAATATCCTTATTCCCCTTCATTCTTATAGGAGTTTTTTATTGTTTATAAAATTCTAGATTGACACTTATTTTATTTGAGCATGTCAAATATATTCTTTCATTGTCTTTATACTTTAATTGCTGCTCCTTTAAAAGTAATTTGTCTTTTTCATTTCTGGCTGCCTTAAAGACTCATGCTTAGTCTTTTTTTTTTTTTACCAGTGATACACCTAGGAGTAGTTTCCTTTTTATTTATTCTACTCAGCTTTTGCATATTTTCTTTAATATTTTCATCAAAGTCACATACAGACAGATTCACCCTTATTACATGCACACATCTGTGAATTTATAGGAACACATGCATTCCTGTTTGTCAATAGCACTGCATGCCCCTTTGCAGTTTACTATGGTCTGAATGCTGGTATTCCCCAAACCCATGTTGAAATCCTAATCCCCAACGTGATGGTACGTGGAGGTGGGGACTTTGGGAGGACATCAGGTCATGAGGGCAGAGATCTCATGAACAGGATTAGTGCTCTTATCAAAGGGTCCCCATAGAGCTCCCAGGCCCCTTCTGCCATGTGAGGATATAGACATGGACAGTCAGCAGTCTGTAACCTGGAAGAGGACCCTCCCAGGAACCTGACCGTGCTGGGACACTGTTCTTGGACTTCTAGCCTCCAGAAATGGAGCAATAAATTTTTGATGTTTACCAGTCACCCTGTCTATGGCATTTTGTTACAGCAGCCTGAAGTGACTAAGACAGTGCATCCTCTGCACCCTGCACTATACCTAGCCTCTGGCAAACACCCATGCTTTCTGTTCTAGAGCTTCAAGTTTTCCAAATGTTATATAAATGGAACCATACTTATCATCTTTTAATTCTAGGTTTTTTCCCTTAGTGCAATGCATCTGAGATTCATCCATTTTGTCATGTATAATAGTTCATGGTTTTTTATTACAGAGTTTTTCCATTTGCTGCTGGTAGGCTTGAATAAGGCCTTTAATGGGCCTGGCTCTAGTCACTGACACTCATGTAATTGTCTTGCATCAGTGGACTAAATATATAACTTGCTTTTAAAAAACAGAATGTGGCAGAAGTGCTAGATGTCTCCTCCCAAAACAAGCTGTATAAAGACTGTGACTTCTATCATGAGTGTTTATTCTGGCTGTCTTCTGGATTGCTTGCTCTGGGGGAAGCCAGCTGCCCTGTTGTGAGGCTACCTTTATGGAGAAGCCCAGGTGAGTGAGCTGGGAAGTGGATCTTCTGAGGCCTGTCAAGAGCCATGTAAGTAATCTTGTAAATAGACCATTTATCAATCAAGCATCAAGATGACTATAGTTTTGGTTGAGAAGTGATGGCTGCCTCACAATAGACCTCGTGCTAAAGGCATTCAGCTCAGCCAAATCCAGATTCCTGACCCAAAGAAACTGCAAAATAATAGCTGTTCATTGCATTTAGCCTCTAAGTTCAGGGTGGAGGGGTATTTTTACACAGCAATAGCCAGCTGACAGAATCCAGTCACTAGCTGAAGAACACTTTATTACCAGTGTTAGGTGATTATGAATAAAGGCACCATAAGCATTTGCATACATGTGTTTGTGTGGACTTGTTTTCATTTCTCTTGAGTAAATACCCAGGAATGGGATTGGTGGGTCATATGAAAAGTGTACATTGAACTTTATAGGAAACTGCCAGTTCAAATCAGTTTCTTGATGCTTCATCAGCATCAGAAATTCTCTAACATTTCTCTCCAAATCTTTTCTCTTGCCCTTGTAACTTCTCTTCTTTCCCTAGGATTCCAATAATCCTTCTCCCTGACTGTATCCTTTATGCCTCTAAGCCATTTTTTGGAATTTCCATTCTTCTCTTTTGCTTCTTTGTGTCTCATTGTGGATATTTTCTGATCTTTTACTTCCTCAGGTTTTTACTTTTAAATTACTGTTTCTAATTAACTTTAAACTTATCCTCCATTGTACTTAATTTTATGATAGTATTTTTTAATTTCAGAATTTCCACTTGACAGGTTTTTACAGTTTCCCAGTTCTGCTGAGATTCTCAATCATTTATCTCATTGGGCATAGTAAACATACTTATACTAAAGTACAGTATGTGCTTTTGAACTCTGATCTTTTGAGCATACATGGATATACTGCAATTGACTGCTATTTCTGCTTATAATTTTTCAGCTTATTTTGTGCCTGCTTCTTGACTATGTATTGAATTGAAGTGTAGGATGGTATAATTGGGATATATTTATATATGTATATATTAACATATACATATATATATCCACACACATACATATCCATTTGTTTGTTTATTTTTCTCCCAGGTACCTGTGTATCATATCAATCCCTAAAGCTCTATTGAGATGATTCACAGATGAGCTGTGGTTCCTGATTCTGACTAATATATGGCCTTTAGAATGAACACTTCAAGGCCCCACCCCATGACATTGGAACACTCTGGACTCAGTCTGTCCCCATAATCCTAGGAGACAGTCAGAAGTGCAGCCTAGGCTTCTCTGCTCTCAGTGAGTGCCTACACATCCCTTGGGGAAAAGCCTAGAATACATGGGGTTCTTTGCTTGGCCTCCATTGCATTACATACCTATTTTTTCAGTCCCCCCCCCCGCCCAGTGTCCCTGTCTTTTCACTGTGTTAGTATTGTCTAGTGCTTTGAATAAAAAAAAAAGTGTTTTGTTCAGCTCTTTTGGGATGTTCTCAGAAAAGGGTTGGTCTACATCTTTGCATCAGCCATTGCTAGAAGACCTGGGCTTCTTTTATGTGTGAGAAAAATAAGTTACTTGTTTATGGTACTATTAGACAACTTTGGATTCACATGGTCAAGCCAATTTCTAAATGATATATTGATACAGTTGAATTAAATATTATATTTAAAGCCAGTTTGACATTTACCATGCCCTCAATATTATTTTCCTTTACATTATTTAGGTATGAGAAGAAAAAGATTAGCACCCCTCTCCTTCTGCTCAGTTTAAGTCTCATTTTATACTAGTTCTCATAGACCAAGTACTCCATAAGTATCTCTGAAAAGTCACCTAATACTGCATACAATTTTAATTCCTTAATTTAACCTACCCTACAGTGAAGCTTCATAGTTCATATTCGACTTTCCAGTTTTTCAGCCTACTTCATTTTTATGTTTTAAATACATTCTCCCTAAGAAGTTGATACAACTTAAAACTTATCTGTTTACTTCTGAGTTTGAAAAGTGCTTACCATTTGAGATAGAATTTCCATTTTCAGTAGTGATAGCACTGGAGAGTGGATTAGATGACTGAACTCCATGGCTATTCGCATTTCTGTCTTGAGTCTCTGACACAATCTCTGATGTACCGGAGTCATCTCGGCTAGTTAGGTTCATGTTAGTTTCAAAACCTAAAATAAATTTTAGAAAAAAAGTATTCTTTTTTTTGCTGCAATATACTGAATAAGTTAAATAAAATGTTGAAAGGGAATAATACAACTTATCAAATCAAACATTAATTACATTTAAAAATAACTTAGTAACAATATTAATCAAATTATGGCCTACACAATATTCAACTGCTAAACATGTGGTCTATAAAATATTCAACAAGCATTGTTAAACTGAGTAGTGAAAATAAATTTGATAATTTCTTATTTTCAAACACCCATATAGAGAACTTTTGATGTCATAGGTCAAATAACTTGTCATTATAGCATTGTCTACTTCCTAATAGTATGGCAATAGTTATGTTTGAGAAGTTTTCTGAATTACTAAACTAAGTGGAGCTGAAATAATCTTACAGTTTGGGAATAAAATAAGAAATATATTTTTGACATTATTATAAAATGTGTTTTAACCATTAAGGAATACTAAACTTTAGACCCTTACCTCTGTATTCTATACCCTAATAAAATTACCTAAATGTTCACCAAACATTTACCAAATGGAATGCTCTGAGATGTGCAAACACAGAAATCATTGTCCAAATTAGTTTGAAAAGCCAAATAAGGATTTTTCAAAATATGATTATTATTTTTTCAAAATTAATAATAAAGTAAAATACAACATATTCTAAGGTTTGTAACAATATCTAGCTGAGGTAGACTATTACATAATAACAATATTATCCTCAGGCAGGATCCACAAGTGAGAGTGTGCAAATCAAGCACAATTGTCATCATGGTGTCACACTGGCTCTCTCTCTCACCAAGTCAGGCTCCCTTTCTCAGACTGGCCAGGCATACATGGGATTGGCTCTTGCTTCTCAAGGGACTTCAGAAAAGTCCCAACTTACTGGGAGATTTTTATTCAATATCAAAGATATGAATGCTATTTCTGCTCTTGTCTGTTGGTGCACAGTAAATTCTGGCTGTCTTTAGTTGGGGCTGTTTGAAGTTTTAGGCTAACAAATTATTCAGAAAGGATAATAAGCATAATTTGCTTCTTGCACTTTACAAGGGGAAGAACAGTTTATCTGCCATGATCCCCATAACATGGACTTCAGTAGATAGAGAGGTTATCTCCATATTCCTGTAAGGGGAATTATGCTCACCCAGGTCATGTAGCTGGAAAGAGGTAGAACAGAATTTTAACCTATGTATTCTGATCATCACTCAGTTTTTATTTTTCACTATAAGACAAATTAGACTATGTCATTTTGCATCATTTCAATGAATTGCAGTTTAAATTCTAAGACAGGAAGAGGAAAGATAAGGGGAGAGGTGGGAGGAAAGAAGAAAGGAAGGAGAGGCAGGCCAGGAAGCTCTCTAGAGCTTGGCTCCCAAGGCTGGGCTTGACATGATCCTTTATAACTCTTCCTCCTGGACATTCTCTCCTCTTTCCCTTGAGACATTTAAGTAGCACTACAGGCCATGGACATTTTCCCAGTTGCTCCATATTTCAGTCTCTGGTCTATTCCATTTAGCATTTCCTCTGTCTAGAAAGTGCTCTCCACTAACTACCCTGCTTCTTCCTACCCACCAGAGAGCATCATATTCAGATCACCCACAGTGCAGTGACCACTCATTTACAAGTAAGTAATGTGCAGCACAAAGAAGGGCCCAATCTGCCCAAAAAAGGAAGGTTGCTAAGGTTTAAAGTAGAGAATGCTATACAGAATGAAGGCAAAATGAACAGTGTTTTGAAAATCAAGCAGGAGAGTTTATATTTCAATGATCCAAGTAAGCCACTGTAGCTCCTTACTCCTTGCACTTAAAAAAATAAGCAAAAGGCTTTGATCAAGTCAATGTGTGTAAGAACAGTGATGACTATGAGGTCATGTGATCTTAGCTCTTCACAATGTGCAATTACCAAACAGGCTGTAACTGAAAGAATATCTATTCAATTTGGTCAACTCTATCCTCCCCCCACCACTTTTTTTTGTCTTTGGAAAGTTAGTAAATCAGGTTTTGTTTAAAAGATGTCTCAAGACACAAGACACAGACATGCAACAACTTTTATTTGTCTTCAAACTGTTTTTTTTTAAGTTCTGTAATTTAGTTGTTTATTATTGAGTTCCTGCTAAGTGCCTGACACCCTCCAGGTGCTGGAGATACAATAATGAATACCACAGACAGGCAGCTTGAAGCTTACTGCCCAGTTTGACAACAGACAAAGAAGCAAATAAACAAGTAGATAATTAAAAGTGGTGGATTCCCGGCTGGGTATAAAACTTAATGGAAAGTGATGGTGGGGGAGCAGCCAACATTTTTCAGGCAGCATGGCTCAGGAAAACACATCTAGGAAGTCGCAGTTAGGCTCATAGTAAAAGGAGGGAAAGAAGCGTCTGTGTAAACAGACAAACTCCCACATGTGTGAAGACACCAAGCAGGAAAAATCTCACCTTTTTCACAGAACCAGGTAGTAGGATCTTATTGAGTTGGGCACCTGGAAGCAAAGGGTGTGTGAGAAATGGGACAGGCACATCACCCAGGGCTAGGGAGGCCATCTCAGGCAGAAGTTTAGCTTTTGTTCTCAGTGCAATGGGAGGTCACAACAAAAGGGTGTGAAGCAGGAAGAACCTCCCTGGGTAAATGGGGCAGTCCTCTTCTATGTGGAGGTACAAGATTCTCAATTCTCTGAGACGTTGTGTCTTGGTACAAATATTTGATGCTAGCTTTCCTCACAACTGAGTTCTGTCTCATTAACAATTGATATATTTAAATCATAGTCAAAACCTCCAGTTTTGTTACTAAAGTTAAAAAAATCTTCATATTTCTGATCAGTAGGTGAAATTGTAGCCAAAAAATATGTTTAAATTTGTCACAATAGGCTGTGACTTTTACATTATCTACTAAGATTTTCTTTCTATTTTTATATTAAAAGCATATGTCTACTGGAGGATGGCTCTGAATTGGAATAAGAAAATAAGTCTTCCTTAATGTAAGACAAGAATTAATGGCCAACCTCATGATTATTATTCACATTGCTTATGTAATAATTACCACCCCTGCTAGATGTGATACTTGAGTTAGCTCTTATTTTCCTAACAATTCTGAAGAGTTGTCACTGTCATGCCTATTTTCAAGATGAGGTCACTGAGGCTTGGGAAGGTTAATCTACATGTAGACATTTCACAATTAGTTAGTTGTTGCAAATGGATTCAGACTAAGGCATGCGGGACTCTACCACCCACCCACATTCATTCCTGTGGTTGGCCCCTTATGAAAAGTCTTCCCTCCTTATATCATTTGCTGGTATAAAAGGATAAGGCCACTTCTTTTCTGTGGCTTTACCACCCATGCCTCAGTGGTAACTGAGGAACCAGGAACTGTAGGTTGAAAAATTGTACTTTGTCCACTGAAATAGAGTTGCAAAATCAGTGTAGGTGCCCTCACTTTGGGATTATCCTTATTCATTAATACTGACTGGGGCATTCTTAGCATAGTAAATTCTGTGTCAACCTTTGCTCATAAACACCCGTACTCCAAGTTACTGCACATAAAATCACATAAAATTATCTGTGCCCAAGTGTGTTAATATTTTGATTCAGCCACAATGAAGGTCAAATACAGAAATTCTCAATAATTTGATTTTTTTCATAAAGTGTCAGTGTAGTACATGGTGGTTGAAATGTTCCTTGTCAAAAGTATACCCATTACCCTGTACTTAAGCACTGAAGAAATCACAACAATGACAAATCAAGAAGACATTGGCATTAAGTCTGAAGAAGCCTTAGTTACAAAAGTGCATGTACAAAATGCATGTTTATGGTGAATTTTCAAAGGAATAATGCGAAACAAGCAAAGTCTTCAAGTTTGCTCATGCCTCCAAGCAGTGGCCACCAGGGTTTTGAGGGTGAAAAAAAAGTCAGTCACTCTAAGAGGAAATATTTGAGATTCTCAAAGAATAACAAGTAGAGAAGTAAGAACTGTAAAATACTGTATAATGATTTAAGGTATATCTGAGTCATCATTCTATCTCTGTATCTTGTAAAATCGGTGGTTTGTGTAGTTTAGTGACATCCTTTGGTCAAGTGCATTGTAACACTGGCTGATTTATATACCTATGGTGGTTTCTTTTAACCTGTAAGTAGGATTTCTCTGTGACCCTGCCTAGTGCTGTTTTTACAGGTATGGGAGAAATGAATCATACTGGCATCTGACTCAAAAGATAAAAAAGAAGTCTTGCCCTTACATTAGGATATGCTTATTAATTACAAGTATGCAAACAAGGCACATTTAAGTTGAATCTTAATCTGCTGAGAGGGTTCTAGCAAATCTCTAAATGTAAATACAAATCCCTGTGTTAGTTTTTATATAACTAACAAAATAGTTATATAGTTTTTATATAACTATACAAAAAATGAGTTGTCCTGTTTTAGTTTTTATATAACTAAAATATCATGCTGGGTGGGTGAAACTGTGGTTTTCTATAGGAGGTGATATTGCCACCCCACCCTCCCCCTACTCTCCCACCCCTGAGCAACATTTGGCAATGTCTGGAGATGCTTTTGGTTGTCATGGTGGGGGAAGGAGATTCTACTGGCACCTAGTGAGTAGACAAGAGGGATGCTACAAAACACCCTACGATGTATAGAATAGCCCCCCACAAAGAAGAACTATCCCTCCCAGAATGTCAATAGTGCAGAGGATGAGAAAGCCTGTTATAAAGTCTCAGTCAGACCACACCCTTTCCCCACTTAAGTCTCTCCACTGGTTTCTTATTTTCATTGGATTAGGATCCAAAGGTCTTCTGAAGCTGAGAGACTCTCCATAACCTGATTCCTTATTCCCAAATACCCCATTTGCAACATGCCACCCCTGCATCGCTCACTCAGCTTCTTTCTCTCCCCAAGGGAGCCTGAAGTTTCTGCCCAAACCTTCCCTGAGCAGAAGGGCCTTCCAAATCACCTTCTAGAAAATGCCCCAGGTTATCTCTCTCCCTGCCCCAGGTCAACTTCTGTTCC